ATGATTGACATGTGATTTAAAACACCTGAAAGCAATGCATAACGTGATGGGGGGGAAAGCACTGGGTAGGAAATTATTCAGGCGTTTCGGGCGTCCAGCCGATGTCTGAATGCTCGGGCGCTTGGGGCGACTTCGACGCGAAAGAGTTAAGGGATTCAGGTGCTAGTATTGATATAGCTTGTCGCAAATACATCACGCCGGAAATGCTGACAGGTGAAAATGTGTGGGTGCAACAGCCATTAGACTTGAATCCAACCTGTTTACCATTGGCTGAGATCGAACTAAATTGCGATCTTGGGCGAGTAATAACTAAGGCTGCCATTATTAGAAATGAACTCGACAAAGGAAGGTATTTATTAGGCAATCGAACTTCTGCACTGTTGAATAAACAAGGAAAAGAGCCTGATAGTTGTCCTCACCAGGTTAATGCTGTCTCTACTAGAGCTCAAAGGAAAAGAGAAATAGCTGAAGAGAAGCTCTTGGAACCGATGAAGAAAGAAAATAAAGCATCCAGGGATGTTTTTGAAGAAGAAGAGAGCTTTTAGTTAAAAAAACGACTGATAAAATGGGCTTTGAAAGACAGCTTGTAGTTATACCTGAAAAACTCAAGTTGTCAATTATAAAGCTGTGCCACGAAGGAACTTCTGGTCATTTGGGTGTCAAAAAGACCAAAGACAGACTTGCTAGATATTTTTATTGGACGAGGTGTTACAAAGAAACTGAAGATTTTGTAAGAACCTGCGATGCTTGTCAGCGCGCTGGAAAAGGAAATGACAAAAAGAGGCTCCAATGACATTAGTACCAGTAATTTCCGAAATATTCACTAAAATAAATGTCGATGCTGTTGGTCCGCTACCTATTTCAAAGACTGGAAAAAAATATATTATTACAGCTCTGTGTATGTCGTCCAAATATCCAGATGCTGTTGCGGTGACAGACATTTCTTCGCAATCTGTGATTGATACTTTCTTACAGGTTTTCAGTCGTATGGGTTTCCGAAAATGATCCAAACAGATCAGGGGACCTCTTTCGTCAGTGCTTTGACGGAGGAATTTTTGGAGCGTTTCGGCATTAAACATGTAAGAAGCTCTGTGTATCATCCGCAGAGTAATCCCGTTGAGCGATTCCATAGAACGCTAAAAAGGGTGTTAAGAGTCGTATGCATAAGAGCTACTTCTGATTGGGAGAATTATCTACCATCAGTTTTGCTCTCAGAACAGTCATCACACACGAAAGCACTGGTTTTTACACCAGCAGAATTAGTTTCATGGCAAAAAACCTACGAACGCCAGTCACTTTACTTTATGAGCAGTGGCTAGAAACCGATTGAAGAAAGTAATAATGTTGTCAGTTACGTTTTCGAACTTATTAATCGAATGAAGAAAATGCCAAGAACTTGCCGTGGAAAACATGAAAGAAGCTCAACAACGGAGGAAAACATGGTACGATCGAAACGCAGTGAAAAGAGAATTTACTAGAGGAGATTTAGTTCTTGTTTTATCAACGAATCGTCAAAGTAAACTAGAAGTACAATGGAAAGGACCTGGAAAAATAGAGCAGAAAATTTCAAAAACCAATTATATTGTAAGTTTCGAGGAACAAAACGAGCCAAATCAAGTATATCACATTAACATGCTTAAACCATATTACAAAAGACCAGAAATGATTAATATGATAACTGAAGTGGAAGGAGACTTAGAAATGGACATTCCTCATTTACCTTCCAATCCAAGTATATTAAATTTCTCGGACATCATAGAGGAGAATGAACTCGATAAGAAAAGGTTTGAAACCCGAGCAAATAGAAGATTTACGAAAGATTTTATGGAAATATTCTGGTTGTTTTTCAAAATATCCTGGACTAACAAACTTAGTTTGTGACACGATATTGAGCTATTAAATAACGAACCAATACAAATAAAGCCATACAGACTGTCACCCTCGACAGACTGAAATTCTCAAAAAGGAAATCCAGAAAATGCTCGATCTTAAAATTATAGAGCCGGGAGAATCGGACTATAACATCTTCCATGATTTTGATAGAATCTTCATCATCAAAGGATCCTCGGCCTTGTATTGATTATCGTAAACTTCAATGCTGTTACTAAAACTGAATACTATCCTTTGCCTAATATTGAAGAACGTATCGAAACTGTAGCTAAAGCAAAATATATTACCCTAATTAGATTTATCTAGAGGCTACTGGCAAATTCCGTTAACAGAAAGAGCCCAAAGATATGCAACATTTGTAACTAGTTTTGGAAGTTTCAGGCCTCTACGTTTACCCTTTGGATTAAAAAATGCCCCATATTTTTTTAGCAAAGTTATGACTAAAGTCCTGGCTGGATGCGAAGGATTCGCTGTACCATACCTGGATGACATTGCCATTTACTCAGAAAACTGGGAAGAGCACCTTTAAAACCTAACTTCTGTTCTAGAGAGAATACAGAAAGCAAACTTACGACTAAAACCATCAAAATGTAAATTTGCACAGATCAAGTGAGATACCTAGGCCATGTCGTGGGACAAGGACAACGAACCCCGGATGAAGAAAGATCCTGGCTGTGAAAGAGTATCCTACACCTAAAACCAAAAACAGAAGTACGTGCTTTCTTAGACTGGTAGGGTATTATCGCCAGTACATACCGAGATTTTCAGGAATTGCTTCACCCCTCACGGACGCTTTGAAAGGGGGTAACAAAAAAAGGAAATATACAATGGTCTGAAGTATGTGACAAAGCTTTTAAAAATTTAAAAGAGTTGCTATGCAAGGAAACCAATTCTGTATGCTCCCGACTTTGATAAAAGGTTTATTATACAAACCGATGCCTCAGACAATGGCATGGGTATAGTACTATGTCAATTAGATGATGAACAACATGACATCCTATCTTGTATATAAGCAAAAAATTTACTAATTTGAAAAGAATTATTGTACTACTGAAAAGGAGTGCGCTGCTATCATCTACGCTATCAAGAAATTACATTTTTATCTGGATGGTCAGCAAGAATTCTTGATTCAAACTGATCATAACCCTTTGGTCTGGCTACAATCCTACGCCAAATGTAACTCTAGATTGATGCGCTGGGCACTCTCATTACAACCTTATAATTTTAAGGTCATTCATCGCAAAGGAACTTTGCACAAGAACGTAGATGTTCTGAGCAGAATTAAGTAATATAAATATATAATAAGAGTCATATAATAAGAGTATGTAACCACGTTTAGAATTTATTTTATTTTTAATGTATGCTCAACTGATGTATTTGAACGATCTCCATTTCTTTTTATTTAAATGTGGTGTAAAAGTATTATTTAAAACTTAAAATCTTTGGCCTGAAATTTGTAAATTTTATAAGAGAAATTACCTTTACTCTTTAAGCAATTGAGCAAGCCGAGCTTATAAACTTTCGAATTTTTACAGAACTTTTCCCTTCAGAAAAAGTCTCTCCGTTGGGGGAGAGGTTGTAACAGCTTTAAATAGTATTAAAATCTGTATTTAATAATTTAAATAGATGAACATTAAGGTATTGTGAATGGCAATATTTGAAACCAACTCGAGTGCCACGTGCGACTCTCGCACGAAGATGTAATTTATTTTAAAATGTGAGAATATGTTCTCTCTTTTTGTTTGTATGTCGCCATTTGAGTGTTAAATAAAGTTTTCTTCTGTGTTCCATCATTGGAGTTATTTCTTGGATATCGCCAAAGAAGCATCACAGTCCACGTTACGTGCCATAAAGGCAAAATTCCTGTTATTGAGCCGAGTATAGGAAGGCATTACCAGTTGACCTATGGTACATCGCTGGTGTCCCCCATACTTTTACCCTTACCTGTTATTGAGCCGGACACGTTGTGCTGCCGCGCAATATCTCGGCATAAAATGCTCGTATCGGATCGGATCGATATGACCACCCTGTTTATTGCAGTTCTATGATGATTACTGCTCTCTGCGATAACCCCCTCTATGTAATTTCGATAAATCTTGTTTTATTTGCTTTTTCAGTGTTTATTAAATTAGTAGAGTTTTACGTCTTTCCCTGTTTCGAGAATTTTTGCCATGAAACAGGCATATAAGCGTTAAAATCCATGATGTCACTGATGCCCAGATTTGAAACAACAGTTTGTACCTTAAATACAAAAATAACAACTATGATAACTTGCTTTTTGTACTTTTTGGCCACTTTTAGATCTGTTGCCATCTTTCCGATCAGAATCAGGTTTTATTGCGCAGTGATCTATTGTTATTACTATATTTATGGTTACAATGTTTTTGGTCATATTTGACTGAAAATATAATCATGCGACTGCTAACAATATTGGATTTTAAATTAAAACTATGAAAGAGAAATTTGCAAGAACTGAATTCAACTATTTGTATATACATATAACATTTCTGCGCTGCCGCTTCTACTGTTCCTAAATATTCTGTGAATGCCCCAATACAAGCTTTTATGGGCGTGAAATGGGTTTAATTTTAGTATTCTAAACTTTTTATTTTAGTCGCAATAGAAATGGTTTATGATATTTTAGAAAATAATATTTTTATTGTTAATTTTATTCATCGTTTTGTTCGAAAAAAGTGTGTTTTAAATTTCATTTCTTGGGAAATAAATATTTCCCTCCTTTTTTTTTAAACAATTTTTGTTGAATAAAAATATACGATAAGCGAAACAACAAAACTCCCTCATTTTCAAATAATACATACTTTTCTTTTGAAGAAGTGTAGAATTATCCGGAATTTTTTAATATCCAGATTATTGTCTCAATTAGTTCGGGCATTTGGAATTCTAATGTTATTATTATTATTATTATTATTATTATTATTATTATTATAGTACCCTTTTCTTCCTATCGATTAATCTGCTCTATTTTTGAGAACAGCATCCTGTACTCATTTAAATCAGTTTTTTTCCTTACTTTTCACTTCCCTGTATGAAGTAAAGGAAGTATTTTATATCAAAGAACCATAAGATATTACTGAATTAGCAAACTTTGATTACATTATAAACAATATTTTACCTGATTCTATTCCATTCTAACTAGAAACATGTACTAGTTTTGTATCGCACATTTCAGTGCGAAAATCTCATGCTTGTTTTCCTACAAAGTCAGATAATAAAAATTCATTCCATTCTTTTCAGAAATTAGATTTCGCCACCCTCTTAACAGCTGTTCTTTTTTTTTTTTTTTGAGGATGAGGGTAACATCAGGTTACATATCATATCAAGAATTATTCTCGTTTTGATCTTTCTCGACATAAGTCATTGGTAACACAGAAATATTTAAATTAGTCCCATTAATAGCCACGTTATGCAATACAGTTGTGTTTGTGATGTCAAACTTTATGCCTTGTTCATGATACCGCAGAGCTGTTTGTACAATAGTTTTATAGCCATCGACGACTCGTTTCAAGGAATTATCGAAGGGCTCGATATTTAGGTGCTTCTTTGCGCGTCTGAAGATGCCGTCGCGATTGCGAATAACACATTGAAATGCATTCCAAGATACATTCGCCTCCAGAAACTTGAGGAGACGAACGAGTTCTCCGGGAAGATCAACTGTTATAGCTTCGTAACGTATAATGAGTAAAGGTCCTTCAAACTGCAGCCAGTCCAGAATACTTTCCATCCAGAGTTTGGAATGAGTCACCACAAAGTTCGGCCAAGCTGTAAGAAAAAAGTCACATAAATATATTAGCTAAAGATAGGGTATTTTTGTAGAAGTTTATTGGTAAGCAAGAGAAAAGTAGAATTGAATATCTTTTTGCCATTAATCACAAAGTTAACGACAGCTACCTACGATTTACCATCCATCTAGAAATTAACGTAACTCTTACTGCTCTTTAGATTTAAAAGTTCTAATAAGATATTAAATTTTCTAAAATGTCTTATCAGCCGCCATGATTTATTTTGTGAAGTAATTTTTTGAGGACTGTTCTGGAATTTCGAGGACATTTCGGAGTTCGAGCTCTTCAGAGGTTATGTATGGGTTGCCGTTTCTCTAGAGCAAACCTCGCATTCTATACACCCTACGGAGAGATGCATGATTTCCTCAAATAGAAGTTGCAAATTATTTTCTGAGACTTCGTACGAGATAGTAGCTTTCACGGTCAAGTCCGTTATAAATTTCTATCCTTATAACTCTTACGAGATGTCCCATACAAGCCAGAATCTTGTAGGTAGGATTACCGACTAATTTTTTGTTAAAGCTCAAACTATTGTGCTGTATGTGACTTATCGTTATCTCGAAAGAAGGACCATTCGTCATGAAGTGGTTCAGTTCTGCACCCCCCCCCCTTCGCCGATTGGCTGCCTAAAAATGAGCTCGCAAAACACTTGCATAATAATCTCCATTGATAATTGTTTCTCTGTAGGCCAATCACAGTGCAGTTTCAGAGATGTTTAAAAAATAGCAACATTAACCTCTTTGAGAAATTCGAAATTTTTTGGGATAAGTTAGTTGCTGTGTTTTCGTATACAAGGCTGCTGCTTTGACTCGGGGTCATAATATATGATCCAAGCCCTTTCGATGGTTATTTTCCTATTCAAGTAGACAAGATTATTTTTCATTCGTTAAAGAAATAACTTGTAGTAAATAATAAACGCTATAGAGCTTGTGTTTTTCTTACGGTAAACGTATCACCTATTTTGTACAAACGCAAGAAATTTTCAGGTGTTTCATAATAACATCATGAGATTTTACTACGTTAATATTACGTACAGCTGATAATTCTCGAAGAGCTTAACATTAACTTCTTTCAGTGGCATTTTCGCTTTCACAGTTTTCTTGTCTTTCATAGGTGTTGATAGCTTCTCTCTTCTCGGCTCATTCTTCAAGCTGCATTTGTCTTCTTTAACATGCAGCCATCCTTTGAATATGACCAATCTGTCCATTCTTTTTATCCAAAGACTAGTGATAATTGAGACTGTTTCTTGGCTTCTTTTGCTTTGACTTAGCACAAAGTTCATTACCGATCCTTTGATAACTAACTGTATATCATTCTAGTCCACCATTATAATGTACCCTGCAGTTCAACTTTATTTCTAGTAGAAAAAACAATATTTGCACTTTGACTTCACTCATATTAACAAAGTATGACGTAGCCTGTTTTCACAAGTGACAAGTTTGCTCTTCAAAATGAATTAGCCGAATTGCGTTTTAGAGTTTACTCTGTGACCGAATTTTGAAATTTACGGCCTTTCTCATGGGCTAACTTTTCTTAGCTATTTACAGCTATTTATTTCACTATGAGTTTTTGTAATCAAATCTCAATTTCTTCCTTTTTATCTGAAGTGATTATTTAAAGAAATAGCCACGAACTCGTATTTTGAAACAATATTCAGTAGTTAATGGAGGTTTTTTCATATGAATGAATTTCATAACGGCGCAATTTGTTATTAGTTCTTAGGAGTTTGAAGATGTATTAGTATAATCTCTATCACAAAATCCCACACTTGATACTTTAAAGAAATTGAATGTTGTCCTCACGAAGGGAAGATGCACATTTTTTTAAAGCTACTTTTTTATTGAAATTAAGGCTTAAATAGGCTAAATTAAACTATTTATTAAAAATTTCATTTTCATTTAATGTACACGTAGGGGAAAAATTACTGTTGGTGTGCAATTTTCAGGTATAGAAATTTAGTTCTGGCCTTTTGAATTGATTCCATTGTAGTCTTAAATTTTCAAAAGCTTGTTTCAAAACGGATAACTTTCCCATGCCTTTTAGTGTAACTAAGAAAAGAAAAAAATGTACACGTCTAAAATTGTAACAGTGAATAAAAATCTCTAATACTTATCAATTATTTACTACTATTGTTTATTTCAAATTGTACTACAGGTATATCTCGACGTATTGCGAGTATGGACACAGTAAATATTGCAATTAATAGTCTATACGTTAGATGTGTGAAATATATAATGAAACATAATAACAATTTGAAAAATGAGAGAATACATCAAACGGATAATTTTAAAAATGGATAAAATTAGTAGTCTTTTGGAAACCGTATTAATAATTAATATGTTATACTCAGAGACTGTCGTTATGATTGATTTCTTGCAAAATTTGAATATACGTAATGATAACAACAACAACAACAATAATAAATATGCATGAAATAATGTGATCATTAACTGAAAATTATTGTATAGAAACGGAGCAAGGAATTGCAAAGCAAGTGGTAAAATATTCAATCCAGAATAACTACAAACCTACTACTTGTTGAAAAAGAAAGGAAAAAAAAAAAAAAAAAAAAAAAATCCTCACAAAACATAAGAAAATGACATAAGTATGCCTCTTAGCTATTTATTATTATTTTTTGTTTTTGCCATGGCAATCATTTATATATTTTTTAATAAGTCTGAAACTGGGATCAAATCTAAATGGCAGTTACCCAAGTATAACTTGCTGGCTCATATTATCGAAACTGAAGTGAAATTGCAGAATTTTCATGCAATTTTCTTCATTCCTGGATACCTGTAAGTTGTATATAGCAAAACGCTGTCAATAAATCTATAAACATTATTTATTGTAATATTATTAAAGTATGTTAATAATAATAATAATAATATAATATATAGTTTAGATAAGTTCTGGCAACAGTGAATGTTGTCGTCATCAGAAGATCGTGCTTCGCGATACTGTCGTTCAAAAAAAAGCTATAGTTTGTAATTCCAATAAAAGCATCGTATTTTTGCTCTGCTATTTGTTTTTTCTCTCTATTTTTAGAAATACCTTTTTAGGTTATGTATTTTTAAGATAAACATTTAAAAAAAAATAAATGATTAAATTAACAATTAAATAATGATTTAAATTAATGCATTTATTTCCTTGGCAACTCCTTAATATAACGATGATGAAATATCGAAACGTTTTCCAATATAAGAAAGATATTTATACTTTTCGTTAGAAAATATCAGAAGTGAAATAGTTATTACAAATCGTTATCTTGAATGGTAAAATAAATATCTATAATAATACGTGAATGTGCTGCTTTCAAGCTGAAGTGAGCGAGATAGATATCTACTTTAGGAAAAATTTCGATCTTGAATTTTTATTGCAACGATTTTTAAAATTCACTTTTGCCACGAAATATTTTATTGAAGTCTAGGAATCATTTTCAATCACAGACAGATTTGGGATTTTAAACTAAAAAAAAAAAAAAAAAAAAAAAAAAAACAAGTCTAATCGAGTTCAAAACACCGAGTCCTAGTTATGAAACATTCCTAACAACTGCTTTTTGCTTTTAAGTGCATCACAAACACTACTTTTATTAAATGATTTAGTAGAAAACTGATATCTTTCCTATATATATATTAGTAAATATTTTCATTTATATTTAAGTGTTTAGTCAAATGTTACTATAAAAATTAAGCATTTAACTCAAGTCATCTATTTAATAAAAGCACGATTTGACTAGAGAATAAATTTATTAAAATTTTAAAAAGCAAAATTATATTAACAGTATTTAGAAACTCAAATGTCATAAATAATTAAAAATTAATGAAATATAGAAGGCATTATTAAAAAATCAGCTTTTAAGGAGCTTAAGATATATCGGATAATTTAGAATGTAATTCAGTGCAATTCAGGTAGGCTGCAACAGCTAATGCAATCTACGTTATAAGCTGAATTATTAATACAGTATAACATGTTCATATTGCTTTTTCAATATTTATGAATAAGACATATTTTTCCTAATCTTTAAAATTTGTTTCTGAAGGTTGTGAAGATTTTTAAGGCTTCAAGTAGCTGTTCCTTAATTTCTCTTTCAGTGGCCCACCAGCGGCCGAGCGGTAAAGACGCTGAACACTGGTAGTTCGGTCCGAGGTTCGAATCCCGCGAAAGGGCTGGCTGCATGGGCGTTTTCGTGGTTTTCCCCATGTGTAACGTGTATACGAGCCAGTTTCCCTTAGAAAGTCCTCCACGAAAGGCATCCCTCCCCTTAGGCAGATAGCCCTAGTGTGCTTTGCCATAATTAAATACACCACACCACACCTCTTTCAGTGGACGTATTTATTAGAAAGGTTTAACTCCTCTTAAATAGAATAGTGTAAGAATAATGACAAAGAGCGTCTTAGATGGCCGATTTATGTGAAGCTTCGGATTTCTCTCAACCCAAAGAGTGAAAACAGCTATATTGTATTGCCTTAAGAGTTGTAGTAAATGAAAAGAAAGCGAAATATATTAGCTAAATTTGATTGTTTTGATTAAGGCAAAGCACGCATGAGCTCTGCCTAAGTATAAAGATGCCTTCATGGAAGACTTCCTAAAGAAAACTGAGTTATACTATGACGAATTTTGTACATATGTAAATAATTTTAGTGAAATTATATATGCAATTGCACTTTTTTTGGAAACTGCAAATAATATAAATGAAATATAAATAGTATGTTTGCAGAAATGTTTCTTTGTACAATGAAAATTTAAAGAATCGAAGTTTTACCGGAAAAGTAAGAGTACAGGTGCAAGTCTATTTAACACTGAGTAACTGGCCATGTTGCTAAACTGGCCTAAAACTAAATTATCGCTAAGCTGGCGATGATCTTTGCGACTAATTTTTGTCTACAAATTTGGCAAGAAGTCAACCGAAGTCGACAAACTTGGAGACATTTGGGTCAGATCCCTGTTTAACAGTAATGGGTATTGTAAGTGAATAACTGTAATTGATGTTGCATGTAGCTGTAACCGTATCCGGCCCTCATATGCCGTCAAGTAATTTCGAGAAGTGAAGGGTACTAGAAATCTCTCGGCGGCCGCGAGAAAACTATATAAGATCGCGGATAGCATCAGTTTCATAGTAGTATTTGTTAGTTCAGGGCTGAATTCGGAGTATTGAGATATCCGTGAGAGCTTCGCTTTTTACATGCGCTTTGTATTGCGTTGAGTTTAACGCTCTTGTTAGTTTGAGGTGTAATTACTGATTGTATCGAAGTATTGTGAAGAGCTGTACGATTATTTTCGTGAAACGTTCCAGAGCTGTGAAGTATTTCTTTTGGCAAGATAAATTTTATCAAGCAGTCATCTATTCTATGTGTATTCAATCTATTACGAACCCCTACGCCCGCAACAGTATATTTGTAGAAAAGAAAAGAGATTTATTTCATTAAAGACTGCGTGCACTTAAAAGCTTGTAAATAGTGCTATCAGAATAGCATGAATAACATAAACATAAATTTACGATATTTTACTTAAAAACTATATTTTACCTATTTTATTCAAATATTTTTACGTTGAGCTGCGTAACTGAAGCAGAGAAATGAAATTTATGTGACTATTTTGTCCGTATGAAAAATGAACTTAAGTTTCAAGAGTTACGTTGGCAGAATTCAAAAAGCATTCACAGAGATTGCATTCAGGGAGCTGTAATGTCTGCTGTATCTTGTAAGTTGAATTAGCAATTTTATTGGCTGTCGGAGATCGCAGTGTAGACGAAAATTTTTTTATTACTCAGTCTAAAACATATCGATCAGTTTTATCTTCATATATAAGGCAAACGAAATCTTAAAACTATAATGTGAACTCTATTGCACTGCATAGCATAAGTTAAGTCATCATACAAAAAACAGGATCTCTTCCATTACTGGTTAACACGCCCAGACAATTTTCTTCCGAAATTTATATACGTCAATGTTTCTATTAACCGCTAATCAGAGCTTAATTTCCAAATTTAGACGTGCTCTAGAACTATTAAAGACCGTCAGGAAAGAAGAAAAAATTAAATAAATAACATAATTAATAAAATAATTACTGATTAAAATGACAAAATAGATAATAATTAAAATATTGTCAAATAAAATTCAATAAAATGTAAAAAGATAATAAAAGTTTTGTAAATTATTTAATTAATGATACATATTTAAATAATGTGTGTGTGATTATGACAAAGCCTCGAGGCTATCTGCCTAAGGGGAGGGGTACCTTCGTGGAGAACTTTCTTAGGGAAACAGGCTCGTATACACGTTACACATGGGGAAAACCACGAAAACGCCCATGCAGCCAGCCCGTTCGCGGGATTCGAACCTCAGACCGAACTACCACTATTCAGCGACTTTACCGTTCGGCCGCTGGTGGGCCCCATCTTTAAATAATGAAATAAAATATCAGAGTTTGTCTTATTAGGGCTCGGGTTAGAATTAAAAGTTTCACTTAAAACTAAGAAATAACAGAGTTGGACTCTGGTTGTATATATGCCCTTAATTACAGATAATGTCCTTCAAGTAACGACGGGAAAACAGCTCATACTTTTTCTAACACCCTAGTTACAAAGGATAATGAGAATAGAGAGAATGCTCTAAATAGTAACTGAGTAAGGAGGTAATTTTAACTGAGAATGTGTAGGCATGAATAAGAAGATAGAAGAGTGAGGTCACTCATACATTCATTTTACATCCTGGACAATAAACATTTGACCTGTGAAAGGGGCTTTTGATTCCTTAAGAGTCTTAGCTTCCGCCCTAGGATTTGTTTCCCAGGAAAAAGAGAAGCATGCATTCAGAAGTTACATTTTAATTTTAATTTTATTAATAAAATAAAATTTTTGAGATAGAAATTTTCTGCTGAAACTAAGGTTCAGTTGCATGAAAGAAATGCCAGAGACCTCTTATTTAGGGTTGCGGCGCGCTCCGGCTAGAATTAGGATTTATTTAAAAAATTAAAGAAGTACCGGAGGCGGATTAATTTAAGCTCTGCCGCTGTTAAATTATTATCTCTTGTTTTAAACGTGAGTATTGTTAAAATTAAAAAAATAAGTTTTTAAAGTAGATGGTATACTTTCTTCTTTATTTAATGAAATACCTAACTTAAGAAGTATATTTATTATGTTTAGAAAACTTTTATTTAAATGAGCTGATAGCGAAATTCTATTTTTTTTTTGTTTTTTTTTTTTTTTTTTTTTTTTTTTTTTGCTCTACGTATCAAGTTGACACACATATCCTTCTAGATAATATTATTTGGCGCATATTGTTCTCTAATAGAAAAAAAATCTAAAACATGGTTATTTTGTAGATAAAGTAATAAAATTTACCGTTTCCTTTATGGAATTTTTCTGGGGAAGCATGCCCTACGTGTCCTCCAGCACGTCTATTGAATTCTGCTACTAGGGCTCCGTATGGATCTCGAATCAGCAGAACAGCCTTCTGATATTTCATCCTTGTGGCCTCTCCCCATTCGTGGGTCTTGATGAGTAAGACAGATCCGTTAGCGATATTTTCGGCTGGGAAACCATTTCTTTTCAATGAATAATCTCGGTATACGCTGCCAGTCAGGTAGCCTATAAAGGATATATAAAGCTCTTAAATACTTCTTCTCATTAGTAAAGAGTTCTTGTGCAGAAAAAAAAAAATATTAAAAATAATATAACATATCCTAACTTTTTTTTTCTTGATGGTGCAAAACTTGTATAGAATTTGTGAAAAATGCTATGTGATTAATTATCTTTAATGATTGGTCATAGAGACTTGTGATTCCAGTTTAGGAAGTGATTCTGAGATTATTATACAGTTTCTGTCATGTGACATCTCTCAACAAAAAACGTACAAACGTTTAGTTTTTTATATCGCATGTTATCAAATAGGCTCCAATTATTAGGAAAACTATCGGACATCTCGATTACAATGGGCACGAAGCTTTCAGGAGTGATCAAGCGTGTAGTAATACCGACTGATAACTGGGGCTTCTCTACGCTGCTGTACACTCCTCTCCAAAAGTTAAGGAACAGCATGTTTGTGTGTGTATGTATGTATGTGTGTGTGTCTAATTTGAGAATGAAGCAACATAAGAACAAGAAATTTACAGGACATGTTCACTAAACAGTTCTTTAATGAATGCGTTATAGAATGTTCCTAAAGTCCAACACAAACATAAATTTAAAAAAAAAAAAAAATTGCACTCTTGGCAGAGAAATGCAGTTTTCGAAAAACAGCATATCACAGTTTTTTGAGGAAACATGGGGCGGTAATATTAAAAAAATGGGTTCTAATAAGGAATGTGTCCACCCCTAGCTGCAATATATTGGCGGCAGCGACGTCTATGCTGTCAATTAAGTTGTCGGGTAGTGAAATGGGAAGCAACGACCAGACACGGAGGAATCCTTGTTCAAGCTCATGTAATGACCTTGGAAGAGAACTTAAAGTAGTAATCTGTCTCCCAGGGTAGTTTCAAAGATGCTCTGTCTGACTCAGGTCTAGGGATTGAGATGACCATTCCATCCACTCCATACCGTCACCCTCAAGATATCCTTCAGTAACCCGAGCTCGGTGCGGTCAGAGAGATCCCAGACCAAACCATTATTCTACCACCTCTGTAACTGTGTCTTTCCACAATGTAGGATTGGTTGTATCTGGTGGATTGTTCCCTTCAGATCAGCTGACAACCTGAATCACTCTCCAGTGTAAACCTGGACTCGTCTGTGAAGAGAATAGACGCCCATTGTTAACTGGTCCAGGAGACGTGCTCTCTTGCTCAACATAAACGGGCACCTCTGTGTCCTCGGGGCAAGGGGACACAAACTACTGGTCGTGTGTGTGTATTTAATAATGACAAAGCACGCTAGGGCTATCTGCCTAAGGGGAGGGATGCCTTCATGAAGGACTTTCTAACGGAAACTGGCTCGTATACGTTACACATGGGGAAAACCACGAACACGCCCATGCAGCCAACCTGTTCGCGGGATTCGAACCTTAATCTACTAGTCGTATTGCATACAGACCTGTATTGTGCAGGCGTCTGCGCACTGTAGTAGCTGAGATTCTTCTTCCTGTTTTCCTTAAATGATCTGCCATGAGCTGAGGCACAATAATGTTACTCCTCCTTCGGGCCGAAAGAGCTGAATAACGCAGGTGTTGTAATTGTAGGTCTGCCTGGAACATGCCTTCTAGACGCAGAATCCTCGGATTCAAACTGATTCCATAATCGGTGGACCACACTTCGAGAGACACTGAGATGTCTAGCAGCGTCAGCTTGTGACATCTCCATTTCCATCCATTCGATCGCCCGCCACCTCAACGAATCGGGTAAACGACTTCTCCTGGACATTGATAGACGGGTATTGTCCACGAAACTGTAATAACAACTGAAGATCAACACTCGAGAACAAAAATTACAATTTTTGCATTTTTTCCCCAAACTCCTATATAAGTATTCATTTCTACAAAGTAAAAGTGGTAGCTATTGTTTTTGCATATATTTTCTTAAACTTTGTTACTGTCATGCATATAAACTGTGAATTTAAGCGTTACTGACATTTTTGTAATGGTAAGCTTTGAAAAACATGCTGTTCCTTAACGTTTGGAGGGCAGTGTAATTTAATGCAGTAGAAATTTCCCGGATGAAAAAATCTGACATGCTTGTCTTTTTAGAATTTTTTATTGAAGCATAACATTTAACTGAGCAACTGAACATCCTGAGAAAAATATTATATTTTGAACTTAATTCTCTATCAGCAGACGGGGATCGCGTGTGTATTGACAAAGCATCCGTACATAACCCAGATCCGGAATATAGTTCTCTGTTTCTTAGATTCTTTCTTCCTTGGCTCCCAGGAAAACAAAAACAACAACAACAACAACAAAAAAAGTATGAAAGCTTTCAGATTTTGTATTGATTTTATATTAAGGAGCGGTTTTTTTTCTATTTACAGACACATACATGTTTCGAGAGCATTTGGGCTAAAAATATTTGAAAACAGCATATCTTTAGAATTTCCGATAGATAGACTTACGGGCTGGAGATAAAAAAAAAAATTATTCCATACAGTGTTGCCACTGCTCGCTTTGAAATCGTTGAGTTTTTAATCAAAAATTCGTTAAATATTTACGAAATAGGAAATAGATAATAAAACAAACTTGAAATTAAAAATTATGCTTCCAAGTGCCCATATTCCGTTGGAGGACTACGTCATTCAAAATTTGATGGCTAGCTTTGTTTTTTCACAATGCGTGAAACATGCATACATTCATACAGATTCTTCATTATTTAATTATTTTAAATATCATACAGGGCGATAATATTTGGTGGCAACAATTTGATTCAACGCTTATAGTGATTTTACGCAAAATGCTGTTTGGAGACTAATATTCCTTTAGCGCTAACGTCTTTTTGGTTTAGAAAAAAACATGGCTAGTCGAAATCTTCCACGTCTGATATCTCCTTTTCCAGGATTTAGATTTGAAAGTGAGCATAGCCCTTCCGGGGTTAGTCTTTTTTCGCGGGAATGGAAACCATTAATTAAAAGGAATTTTGTGCTGCTAATATTATAACAATTCAACCCCGTGGCCAAGAACTTTCAAAAAATTTCATAAATGGGAAAAAGAAAGGCAGAACAATAGATATACGATTACAAATAACTGGGTTGAGCATTGTGAGTTAAAGTAACAGTTTTACATTTAGGCTAGTGTAGTACACAGTAGAACATAAACAATTTATCAAATTGGTAAAACTAGAAATATCTTCTCAATTTAAAACAATTATTACTGCCATTCTTTAATTTAAATAGAGCAGATATTACTGATTCAAAATTAACTACGCAGAGTAAACATACAATTTGTCAGCATATGAATATGAAGCATATATGTAATATACATTCATCCTGACTTAAAAACTTTGCTAATATTTATTTAGTAATTTCATTAACTGATTTCTCTGTGGAGGTTCTAAACTTTCTTTTAAATTGCTATTAACTATCATAAATATTTGCTTTAGTATCAGTATAGGGAAAATCTGTTTTCATTATCCATCTTATTAAAATCATTTCCGATACAAGATAAGTAATTAATTGCTTGGGGTCGTTTCTTATAATAAGATTTTAACGTATTGATATGGTAAATTTGGGATTTTATTTATTTCCTAGTAAGATTACTATATAATATGTTTCGGACTATTAACTTTAGATTTTACAGGTCCTTTCCAATGAACCGAAAGTTTGAATTAGAAGTGCCGAAAATTAAAGCAAGGCAGTTTTCCTTGTCCTCCTGTTTAACAGCATATGTATCGTGTACTTATTTTTTCTTTGTCTTATAAGGTATTTCTCCCACTTTCTTAACGTGTCTTCGTGGTGTAGTGGTTCTGCACGCTGGGCTGATATTCCAGAGGTCTGTGGTCGAATCCCGGCGAAGGCGATTGCTTATTTTTCATCTCTCCGGCTTTTCCAAATTACCTAATGTCTCTATAGTCTTGATTTGATGGTGTTGCATTTTTGCAACAGTTAGTTCTTGATATTTTTTAAAGTGATTTATGAGTCTGAAAATGCACGCGATTACCCGTTGTTTTCCTTTCTTTCAGTACTATGTTCTTATAATATCGTATTTGGTGCATATAAATTTTTTCCATGGATTAATTTTGTGGGTGTAAAAGCCATGCTTTCGGGCGTCATGGGTTTTAGGGGTGAAAAAGCCGAAGTTAACACTTATTCAAAACCACGAAGCGGCCTTCAGGTATAAAACTTGTAGCATTCTTTATGATACGGTGAAATCTCTATATTAACTTGGACTGCAGCTGCTGTACTAATCTATGGGTAAATTTAATAACAAAACTTTCAACAAATTCCGCTGTCGAAGAGCGAAGTCTCGTTACACTGAGTTTCTTTAGATAACCCCATTCTGCTAAAAAGATTTGATAATCAACAAGAGTAATGCGTCCACAACAGTAACTGATCTCTTCTATCGGCACAGAGTGTGGACAGTTTATAAGTAAGTGTCTGGTTATTATGTAAATTTTTTCCACTGGACGTGTTTGGTAACTGTCCGCATGTAGCTATATTTATTTTCGAAAATATTCCGGGTATCACGCGGACAGTTTTGAGAGATGCTTTTTTTCTTGTCATTGGGTTTTCCATTTTTTGGCAAGGATCATATGCTCAAATATAAGTGTTCATTTCCTGGTAACAGTTCGGCTAAAAAAAAAAAAAAAAGAAAAAAAAAAAAAAAACTGCGCGAGAATATCTTTTGATTTAGTTGCACCCAAATGTTTAGAAATTTACTCATGACGGAGCTTTAATAATTTTGTTCGGCAAGTTTCAGTAATGACCAGTAATAAATGGTTTTGGCATTTGAATAGCAGGCCATTTTCTACTGTGTAATTGTTTTTTGAGACTTTGAGAATATAAAGTTGCTGAGTCAGAATGTATCTCTAAGTCATTACTTTCTGTTTGCAAGTGAGAAGAGTGAGCCTTTTCTGTTTGAAGAAGGATAATTCGGTAACTCCTGTGTCCGTCTGAGGCAACTGAATGTTTTCAGATTCTTCTATCGAATCAGTCAATACAATTTCACTCACTCA